AAAAAAAAAAAAAAAATTGAAGTCCCAACCAAAATGACGTTGTTTCTTAATCCCCAACCCTAGCTCTTCTTCGCTCTTTCCACAATCATCTCCATCTCCTTAAAGCCCCTTCTGCAATCATCTTCATCATCTCCAATATGAACAAAGTGCCAAACAAATTATGAGGATTGTAAGGAAGGAAGCAAAGGGACCACAATTCCGGAAATGATAGGAATGAGGACCACCATTTCCCTAAATTTATGCAAATGAAATCTAGCATTGCCTCCTCTGATTCCTTCAATTTTTCACTCAAAAACCTAGCCCCTGCTATTAGCCCCTCTACAATCATCTCTATCTCCTTTTTCACTCCCTCTACAATCATTGAAAACTTAAACAAAAAAAAAAAAAAAAAAGAGATCCAACAAAGCACTTACTGTCCTTCGATTACCAGAGATGAGGAATTGCAATGACAGAGTTGGGTCGTCGACATGGGATTGTGTTTGAAAAATTGAAGGAATCGAAGGAGTCGAGGAGGTGAGGAAGCAATTTAGATGATTGTAGAAGAGCAAAGAAGGAGATGGAGATGATTGTCAAAGGAGGCGAGGAGGAAGGGCTGGATTTCTGAGAGAAAAAATGAACAGAAGGGCTAGGTTTCTGAGAGAAAAATGATGTCATTTGGCTAGGACTTCAATTTTCTTTTGAGAGGTAGGACTGACCCTCACTTTCCTATGTGTATATATATATATATATATTTCCATTGGCTCAATGATGGAAATTTCATTGTATGGAGCAGCAACATTGGTATTCATTTTGGGACTTTACACCACCATAGTTTTCTTTTAATATTAATTGTACAATAAAAGGTAATTATTTTTTATCTCTTATCTCATCCTACTCGCATGCTATGTGACTTGAATTTACAATCTCTTATTTCCAGTGAAAGAATATTTCTACCAAAGGCCTGTTTGGTGAAGCTTGTGGAAATGACTTTTTAGCTTCAAAAGCACAAGCTGCACCAAATATTACAACTAGTAAAAAATACTACAACTTCTCACAAGCTAGCCTTTTTTTCATTTCATTGCAAATCTCAAAAGCACCAAACTGATGCTTCTGTAGGAGTTTTTTATTTGGGTTTTAATAAAATTAACACATTATTTCTATTTTATCCTCATTTTTCTTTTTATTTACAAAAATAACACTTCTACAAAAGTTTCTTTTTAATAGAACTTTTATCAAAATCAAAAGCTCCAGCTGCACAAAACGAGCACTAAATTATTTAGATTATTGGCACACTACCATGGTTGTTACCATCATATATTCCATTGATTTTTTTCATGTATTAAAGACTAAATTTGTGTAAAAAAAAATAAAAGACTAAATTTGTGCTAAAAGCATAAATTATTTTGATATGCTGGTAATGAATTATATAATAGGAATGTTTCCTTTCCTAAACTCCTCTTCATCTATTATAGGATTTAAATTTAAAATTTTTAATATAAAAATTCAAGAGGAACACTAAAAGCATAAATAACTTTATTATTAAAAAAATTATTTAAAATTTTAAAATTTTAAATAATTAATTTTTTATTTATTTGAGACTCCTCGTATTGATACGTTAATACATCTACTTTGACAGATGAAAATTATATAAAAAATTATTTTTATATCACTTTTCATTACTTTCCTTTAAAAAAAATAGGTAATGGATATCACTTTTCATTACTAAACCAACAAAAATTTGACTAAACTAATATCCTTTAACTTTAAAATTTTAATTTAAAATTAAAATCAGATGTTAAAAACTTGTGCGATTAAACAAGTAATTTTCCAGGTATTAAAAAAAAAAAAGAATGAGAATCCTCTACTACACAATGAGGGATGATGTATTCATTGATATAAGGGGAAAAAAAAAAAAAAGTGAGACACGTAGACGCTGCGCAAACCCTAGCTAAACCCTTCGCGAGTAAAACAAAGTAATAACCAACATAGAGGCTTTTAGAGAGTGATACCGAGACTTACTGGCAATTTTTCTAATTTGGACGCCATGAGAAGAGTCGGTGGAATAGCTACCCTCAGGCGAGCGGTTTCCAGTGGCGTCGCCACTCAGCAGCACCTTGCACAGGTGGCTCCGTTAAGTACTTGCTCATCATCTTCCAATTCTCCCAATTTCTCGCGGAGACTTGTTGATCAATTTGGGATAAGTCCCTACGTGTCTCGCGGTGTCGTGGGGACTGTGTTTTTTTCGGTCGCAGCCTCGTCTCTGGCTCAAGATGTGCACGCCAAGGAGCCACCACGCTCTGGGAAGTTCCTCCCCAAAGAAGTCGTTCTGTACCAGTATGAAGCGTGTCCCTTCTGCAACAAGGTTAAAGGTAACTTCGAGAAAAGAGATAGATTTCAGGATTATATTAATGGCGGATGTTTTGGAAATTATAGTAGTGATTGAATTATGAGAAAAATGAGATCTTTGACTTTGAAATTTGTTTTTGTTTTCATTTCCCCTGATGGGTTGTGTTGGTAACGAAGAGATTATGATTTATCATCTTATCTCCAAATCAATATTGATAATTAAAGTAAAAGTCTAACTTGATCACAATGTATTTCTAGTTGTTAGTTATGACATCAATTTTGGAAAGTTTCCTTCAATTTCATTCTTACTCTCTGAATCAATGTGTTTTTTGTTCTTTGTTCTCAGCATTCTTGGATTATAATAATATTCCATACAAAGTTGTGGAAGTTAATCCCATCAGTAAGAAAGAGATCAAGTGGTCTGAATACAAGAAGGTGCCGATACTGACAGTTGATGGTGAACAGTTGGTTGATTCTTCAGGTATTTTTACTTTTCACCCTATTTGTTCTTTGAATTAAAGTTTCAATATTTATTTTGTTTATTGATGACAGAGAAAATAAATAGAAAATTTGAAGCATTTAATTATATATTTGCATTGTGTTTTAAAAATTAATGCGTTTTATGTTTTCAGAGATAATTGATAATTTGTTCCAAAAGATTCATCCTGATAGCTCAGCTTCTAGTGATGATGAAGAGAATAAATGGAGAGGGTATGTGATGCCTGGCATGTGCCTGTACTTCTTTCAGTTCTTTTTACAATTTAAATTCCTATAGTTTCCTCAGTAACTGCTCCATTCATATAGACTGAAAAAATATTCAGGGAAAGAAAATGAAAAATTAGTCCATAATGTTTTACAAAAATATGTATGATTCCGTTCTTTGAAAATTTGCAAACACTATAGCTGAATAATCTTTTACTGCTGTGCTTGTTCTGTTGTTGGAAGCAACATGGCTGTTGCCCTAACATTTAACTATATGCATGATGTAGGTGGGTTGACAACCATTTGGTGCATGTTTTATCACCCAATATTTATCGAAGTACTTCTGAAGCCCTTGAATCGTTTGACTACATTACCACACACGGTAGGATGCATTATTCTTTATTCGTCATTTGATTATGATTTATCTATTTTTTTTGATATGTAGCATGTCATCAGTAGAGATGGTACTTAATTATTTCTTTTTTGTTAGTTCTTTTGTTCTTTTATCATTTGGCTTAATAAATTGACATTAAAATTAACAGAGAAGTGTGGTATGAAAAGTAAGGCCAACAAGCAACATGGGCCAAGAAATTACTGATAAATTGAGAGCTTGTGCTGTCATATTCTTATAAACCACTGTATCCCCTCAACAAAAGTCCATAGAACGGTCCTGGACTTGTATCTACATACGATATTTAAAAGTTCTCAAGTTTTAAGAAAAATGGTTAAGATAGACTATTCATAGTTGATGTTCTTTGCCCTATGGGATAATAAAATGAGCTGTACTTTAGTCCATCCTTTAGGTTTAAAACCCTTGTTTCTCTAGAATCTTTCCTATACTCTATGTTCTTCATAAAAGAAAGATCAAGCAGGAATCTTTATTTCACTGGATCTCTCAGTTTCTGAAGTGTAAAGTTTCTGCTTGGTCACTAAATTTATGCTTTAGGTCTAAGATTCTAGATATCTTTTTTTATCATAAAGAAAGATCAAGCAGCAATCTTTAGTTCACCAGATCTCTTGGCTTCTAAAGTATGCAGTTTCTGGATTATCACTAATTTTTAGAACTTCATAGGCTGGTTGCTTCTACTTCTATTTACTTAATTCCAGGAAACACAGGAAATTTAGCCAGTCATTTATATCTAATTTTTCTCTAAATGTAGGAAATTTCAGTTTCACTGAGAGGTTAGTGGCAAAGTATGCTGGAGCAGCAGCTATGTACTTTGTGTCAAAGAAATTGAAGAAGAGACACAACATCACTGATGAACGTGCAGCCTTATATGAAGCTGCAGAAACATGGGTGGATGCTCTGAAGGGCCGGCAGTATCTTGGTCTGTTTGATTAGTGTTTTATTAGATTTGATGTATGCAAGACATTTGCTCTCCACATAACTGCTAACTTCTCAAAGGTGTTAAGCAGGTGGAACAAAACCCAATTTAGCCGACCTTGCAGTTTTTGGTGTTCTGAGGCCCATCCGACACCTCAAGTCTGGCAAGGATATGGTGGAGCATACACAAATTGGCGAATGGTTCAGCCGAATGGAGAATGCTGTGGGAGAGTCTGCAGGAATCCAGGTATAAGAGTACTGTTTCTGCCAGCCAAGGTAAGAATAAAGTAACTTTGTCATTAGGGCAGGCAGAACATGCTGCTAGTTTAATTTGAGTACACGGATAATCAAACACCTTGCTGAAACTCATGAACAAGAATTGATTGTAACTTAGCAAATAAATAATTCCATCTTGTTTATAGATCTGGACACCATATTTGAATGCTATCTTGAAACATTTTGCTGCAGTCCATTAATCAAAGGCAACATTATGCTGCAGTCATTGTTCTTAAAATGATTATGGATATATTGCTTTCTACTTTTCTATTCTTTCCTATGAATTGTTTGGTCAGAGGCTGCAATTTTGCATGTAATTCCGGTTCTAGTTAAAATTAGGTTAAACCCCCAATTTTGTCCCTCAACTATTGTATGGTCTCTTGATTTGGTCTTTGAACTAAAAAAATATTTGATTTGGTTCCTATTGTTTACCAATTTGGTCTTAAGTTGGTTTTTCATACAAAAATAGATGATTTGTCTCATTATTAACATAACATGTGGTTGTTAAGTAGCAATTTTTTATTATTAAATAAAACAGACACATCAATTTTTTTAACAAAAGGATCGACTTGGGGCTTAAATTAGTAAATAATAGAGATCAAGTTAAGAATTTTTTTTTGTTTAAGGACCAAATCGGAGATTTGTACAATAATTGAAAGGCAAATTGGGGTTTAACCTTAAAATTATGTCTCCTCTCGGTGTTCAAGGTGATGAGAAATCTACGCTTAACCAGGCAAAATAATGTATGCCCTTGGGTTTGAATCTTCTGATCTCTCCAGAACATATTCCTTTCCCCAGCACCAGAGTTGTTTATTTACACTGTTGAATTAGTCTTCCCTCAATCCATATATAAACTAGAAAGCATCTTTGATTACCATTTGAGCTCGTCCCATTTTGGTCCTACCATGCCAGATCCTGCTCCTACACTTATTGGATCGTTACCCCTACTCCTTGTGAATTAAAAACTCAAAACAGCCCTTCTCTGCCCCTCTTAGAGCCCTACCCATTATTTCGACTGCACTTATAAGGCTGGCTTCTCTTACAGTTTTACTAATCTTTCTGGCTACTGAGATTGTTACCCTCTTTCCTCGGTAAAAAGTGCAATAACTTTTGGGCGCAAGCAGACTATGGAGCAGCTGATCTGAGGTGACGTTGCCAGGTCCAAACGTTAACTGGGCCCTCGTAGATCAGCCTAATAAAGTGATAATCACTTGTGGCAGAATTAAAAGAGAGATATTGGACTCCGAGGCACACGTAAGCAATTTCCGTTGCGAGATTTTGTCGTCTTTTGAACGTGTTTAGTATATAGCTAATAAAGTCATAAAAAAAAATTAAGGTGTAAATAAAAATGTTAATTTTATATTTTATATTTAAAAATATTATTTTGTTAATTAATTTTAACTTATTAATTAAAAATATTAATTATTTTATTCATTAATAATTAATAATTA